CACATGAAAATATTAAATAATGCAACAACATCAACAACAACATCAACAACATCATCAACAACGACAACAACAACAACAACAACAAAACAACATCGTAAAAATAAACAAAAAAAGACTGACCAGTGGCGTTATCGACACTAAAAGTTCTCCCATAGTTCAGAATCGTGGCAGGGCTGAGAGTGTAAATGACCTTTCCGTTGCTTCCAATGTCAAGGTCGTAGGCCGTCACCATGGCAACTGGAGTCACGAGAGGGCTGTTTTCCCTCATGGATGTTTCGTACGTTATCTATGTTGTCGTGGTGAATAATTTTCTTTTTATAATATAATTTCTTTGGTTTCATCGTCGTCATCGTTCTTGTTTTTTTTTTTTTTTTTTTTTTTTTTTTTTTTTTTTTTTTGGTTTAATAGTAGTAGTTCATCACAGACAACAACTTCATCCCATCATCATCCTCTTCTTTTTCATCATACCTCTCTCCATCATTTTCGTCATCACTATCATCATCACGATTTTACTCATCATCATCATCATCACCATCTCATCATCGTTATCGTCATCATCGCCTAACGTTCATATATCGTCATGATCATTATCACTTTTTTGAAGGATGAACATCATCATCATCGTCGTCTTCATTCATTCTCATCATCCAGATCATAATCATAAATATTTATATCGAATTCTAAACAACTGGAAGAAATTAATTTATCGTTGTAATACGCATAGCTATGATATAAGTTATATCCATAAAGAGTGTGTGTGTGTTTTTGTGTGTGTGTGTTTGTGTGTGTTTGTGTTTTTATGTGTGTGTTTTTTTGTATGTGTTTGTGTGTGTGTGTGTTGTATTATAATGCATTGTACAGTATTTTATTGCTTAATTTGTCGTGAGCTCTTCTGATGTTTTGACTTCAAAAGTATGTTTGTGTGTGTGTATGTGTGTGTGTGTGTGTGTATGTGTGTGTGTGCGTGTGTGAGCAAATAATTTATTAATATATATAAATGTGTGTGTCAGACAAACATTTCACTATAATAACTTATCATTATAATAATTACAAAAATTCTGAGATCGGCCATTAATCATTTTTCAGACAAACATTTAATTTATCATTATAATATAATAATATATAATAATTATAATAATTATAATAATTATAATAATATAATAATTTATAATAATTACAAAAATTCTGAGATCGGCCATTAATCATTTTTAGAAGTTTTTTTTCTAGTTCATGAACAAATTTTTACAAGTTATGTTATTGTGTTGTTGTTTTAAGTTATGTATTGTATTGTTTGGTATTTTGTTGTATGGTATTATGTATTGTATATCATTGTATTGTATTATGTCGTGTAGTTTTGTGTTGTGTTGTGTTGTATTGTATTGTCTAGGTATTGTATTGAAATGTAATGTATTGTGTTTTATTGTATTGTATTTTATTGTATTGAAATGTGTTTTTTGTATTGTATTGAATTGTATTGTATTGTATTGTATAACTAACCAATACAAATTCTTTTTACATTTAAAAAATCAATTCTCACCACAAATATTTTAAATACAACAATAATACCAAAACACTGACAAGGTATGTATATATTATAATTATTTAAATTATAATTATTTTATTATTATATATTTTATTATACATTTTATTATTTTATATTATATAATTATACATGTTATCTTTTAAAGTTTAAATAATCAATTTTTTACATTATACCTCTGCTATGTGCTAATAGAAATTTAGCATGGAAAAAATTAAACATGGAAAAAAATCTTACCGGTAGGAATATGGGTGGGTTGTCATTCTCATCCATGACGAGTACCCTGACGGTGAGGACCGCGGTACGGGGTGGCGTGCCCCCGTCGTAAGCGATGACCTTCAGAATGTGGAGGTCAAATAATTCCCTATCCAAAGCCGCTTCTAGGACCAACTTGACATCCGTCGATCCGTCTAACTTCCGTGAGTAGCGGATTGAAAAGTTAGGCGATGGTGATGATGGTGGTGATGACGAAAATGATGGAGGGAAAAATGATGAAAAAGAAGATGATGATGAGATGAAGTTGTTGTCTTTGACGTCCATTTTGTTTTCTATTTTGTCTTTTCTTCTTTCTTTCAGGTTGGCAATAAAATGTCTGCGTTCTACAGTGGCGTCATCGTCGTCGTCGCTTTCGTCATCTTTTATGTCGTTGTTTATGTCGTTGTTGTTTATGTAGTGGTTGATGTCGTTGTCGATGTTGTCGCCACTGTTGAGGTAGTTGTTGTGGCTGTAGTAGCTATGGAGGTTGTTGTTGTTGTTGAAGTTGATGTTGTTGTTGAAGTTGTTGTTGTTGTTGAAGTTGATGTAGTTGTTGTTGTTTTGCAGGTCAGACATCTGTTGACGTTGGTTGAAGAGGATATTATAAATGCCGTTCTTCAAGCGTGTTCATCATCATTAGGGGCAAATTCATTTACGTTCTTCCAGTCAACATCATCACCGTCATCATCATCGTCCTCTTCATCATCATCATCGTCGTCGTCATCATCATCAATATTATCATCACCGTAGGTCTGAATAGCTTAGGACGATAAGATTAATCGCCTGTCGTAAACCCTATACAATGTCAATGATAATATAAAAACATACAACTGTGTGTGTGTGTGTTTGTGTGCGTGTGTGTGTGTATGTGTATGTATGCGCGCGTGCGTGTATGTGTGTGTGTGTATCTTTTATTTTTGCACGCTAAATATGTTGCATGTAATTGTATATATTTCAAAACATTAATCAAAAGTAAAACCAAAAGCCCAAAGGCTTGTACGGCCACTCAACTAACAAAAAGTATAGGTTAAAACTTATTAAAATAAATTGTGTTCGTGTTAAATCATTATCTGTTTCCTGATAAATAAAATATTATATGTGTATCATAATTCGAAAAATTAATTAAACAAATTCAAACAACCGTCAAATGGAAAGAAAAAGAACAAAAACCATCAAATTGCATCAGTTTCTACAAGTTTATAGATGTCAGACTTGAACTTTGGGTAAGATTGGCATTGTTGAAGATCTATTGCTGCCTGCTCCAAGCTTTGAGTCCAAATATCAAACTACTATTGCTGAATATTTTTGTTCTTGTCACGGTAGGTAGAAAATATTTCGGTGTCTAAATTGCAGGCTCTTAATTGCCCGATTACATATCAGACATTTTACCAAAAAAAATACAAAAACACACAAAACAATACATACAAAAATATACAAAACATACAAAAATATACAAAACCAAACATACAAAAATATACAAACATCTGACATCTTGCAAGCCTCATATAGTATAGAAAGCATACAACAAGCAACGAAAGCAAGTGCAACAACCACACAAGTCAAAATTTTTTAATCATCAAATCAAGACGCAAAGCATGATTTGACCTGGATGTCAAAAATGACAGATTTTATGATTTTTTATAGGCCGTCAATGAGAAATTTCTGGAAAAAATTAACCTGAAACATACATACATACATGCATACATACATGCATACGTACATACATACGCAAACATATACCCACATATAAAAATAAACAAAATCCACACACACACACACGCACGCACACACGCACACATTCTCAGAATAGCTTTTTTATGCAATGATATGAATAAATAGGCATATGGGGTAACGTGTATCAAAATGAAGTTATCAATGGTATCAGGTGCTACACATTAATTTTTAAATGAGTTATTCTTCTTTATTGGACAGACTTTTTCTGTGTTTATGGGTGTATTTCTGGTGTAAAATGTGTAAGAATACGCTTATAAACATGTGTGTTAGGTACTGTTTTATGTGTGTGTGTGTGGGTGTATGTGTGTGCGTGCGTGTGTGTGTGTGGGGTGGGTTGGTGGGTGTGTGTGTTTACTAGTGCAATGAGCATTTGTGGTTTTAAAAATTCTGCAAGTCTGAATAGAAGTTGATGTCTTTTTAAATCTTTTTTTTGCTTTGCTTACATCATAATAAAATTGACGCTTCTGGGCGAGCTATATTCAACATGACAACAACCTTCACATATGATTTAATCTTTTGTTGTTGTAGAAGAAACACACATTACAACACACATTACAACACACATTACATTGAATGTGATAGGATGAAGGAATCAGCCGGTCACTATGGCAAGCATGTCTATTCATCATATTTTTTTTAATCGTAAACACATCCCTTTGAAAATTTACTTTAACTCTGTCTACCTTCTACACCGTAAGTTCGATTTCGTGTTGTTTCAAGTTCTGCGTTCAGGTAGGGAGAAGTCGGAGATTAAAAATCACCACTAGTTGTATTTGTGGGTGTCTAAAAGTTTTTTCAAACTTATATCATACAAATAGATACATAATATGTATGTATGTATGTGTGTGTATTGATATGAATAAACTACGAAGAGAATATATATATAAAAATAATGATAAATGATAATATAAATAATGATAAATGACTCATTGATCAGTTAACAATGCATTAACATCTGCTTGGAAGACTTCCTGATATTTGCAAATATTGATCGTTAAAGAGCACTAATTTTTGTAAGAAACAAATAACTTTATGGGATGATCTTCTTAAAATTCACCGAGAATTAATAAACAAAACGACAAAATGTACGGTGACCAAGATGGGATTGTTTTGCTTTTGGTACACTTGAAAAAAAATTGCTCTTACAAAACTGGATCTGTTAAATTTTACAATATCTTTATTTTATTTTTATCATTTGCAAGTCAAGATTCTCCAAGGAGAAGTTTTATTTCATATGTTTAATGCATATCGTAACAAACATGTTTCTTAATTCATGTTTAAAGATTTTTACTTCATTTCATTATTTTATTTTTTTGTTAAGACGAAATCTCTATGCGGTACAACTTATCTTATCTAATAAATTAATTGAGAAGCTTTTTTTAAAAAAAATATTTTAATTGGTTTTTCATTAAATTCGTGAGAATTCCATGCTGCTGTCCGTAAAATTTTCGAAAGTGTCTTATTTTGTCTTTTACACGAATTTTTGTCCTTCCCAATTGTTCCCTTCTTTTTTTCTAACACGAACTTTCATCATCTTCATGGAAATGTCACTCTTTTTCCTATTTTCCACTTCGACTTTTCCAACTTTCATCACTTCTTCACTCTTCTTTTCTACAGTTTGCCTTATTTTACGCCTACATAACAAGCCCAGGCTCTCACGGACACATTCCTACGGACACCCACACACACACACACACACACACACATGTACTCACAAACACACACAAACACACACACACGTATATACAAACACACACAGTGAACATTATTCTCAGAGGTGCATAAATAATAGAGTTGAATACAGAGTAGGGCATTGTAGTTTCTGTCGGCTGAAGTCTCCAATGATCGGCCAGTCGTCACACGTGACTGGTCGCAAGATCTCGCTGCTCTTGTTTCAGACGTTTTTCATATTTTTGTTGCTACTGTGGACGCTTTCTATGCTTCTGCTTGCTGTTGAAATACTTTTTGCCGTTTGCCGCAACTGCAAAACTTGTTTGGATGTTTATACGTCCCCAAGTGATTCTGCATGTCTGTATTTTTATTTGTTTTTAGATTTTTTATTTTTGCTTGCGCTTTCCATATCTTTGTTTCGTTTTTTTACTGTTGGAATTGTTCTTACAAGCATATCAATTCGTGTGTGAGTGTGTGTGTGTGTGTGTGTGTGTGTGTAAGTGTGCGTGCAGGTTTGTATGCATGTGAGCGCGTGTGTGTGTATGTGTGCATGTGTGCGTGAACTATTTCACGCTTTCACGCACCACTTGATTTTACGGCTGTGAAAAACTAGTTATTGATACTACGGCGTGTGTGTGTTTGTCTGTGTGTTTGTGTGTGTGTGTGCGTGTGTGTGTGTGTGTATACATATATACATACATACATACAAGCAAACAAACAAAAAGATAAACAAATAAACCACACATTGCATCGTCGTTAATCAAATCTAATGTGAATACTTTAACGTCGGAATAAACAATGATTAAGTGTAGGTGTGTGTGTTTATGCGTGTTTGTACGTGGGTGTATGCAAGTGCTTTGTTTGTGTTTTTGTATATATACATATATACAATTATGAAACATTGTATGCATCGGATTATAGGCATCTTGTTGTATGTTTTTAGAATGTTTTGGGAAGTTAGTATTCGTTTGTATTTAAATACATGTTTGTGTGTTTAATTAGTTTTATTGTATGTTTGTGCCCAAGTTGGTTTATGTCATGTATTATTTTCATTAATGATTTTATCATTTTTTTCATAGCTAATCCTCAAAAGTGTCAAAATCACACACAGGCAAAACGAACGAAACACACACGCATATAAGTACGGGTAAGGGCCATCAGGTATAAATTCTCTTCCTTGCTGCCATTCGTTATGTGTCAGAATTTTTCCAACTTTTACATTACGAAGTATTTTCGTGTTTTTAAAGGACGCTAACGAGTTCCATTTAAAATTAAAACGAAATGTTTTCTTAGCTCTTTTACATGGTTATGCGTGTTTAAATTCAATTTCAGAGCATGAAGAACAATTAGTGTTGTCATTTCGCATTGCCATTTAACTTCATCACTGTTATCATTTTGGTCATCGTCACCATCATCATTGTAATCATCATCACCATCACTATCTCACCATCATCATCACCATCACCATCCGCACTTACGAGGATTTCAACGAGGGCATATCTGGCCACACCGAACAACCCCCCTCCATCTCCGGCATCGTCATCATCACGTGCCGCGTGAAGGTTAAAGGTCGAACCCGCTGTTGCCCCCTCCCCGATGCGAAGGTCAATGGTGGATGGGTCAAATGTGGGGTCATTGTCGTTGACGTCACTAACGTCAATGGCTATTTTTATCAGCCGAAAGTGGCTCATCGGGAGGATGGCCACGTAGATCCAGATGCGACAGGGCTGCGGTGATGATAATGATGCCGGTGATGATGATGATGATGTTGATGATGATGATGATGATGATGATGATGAAAATAGTGAAGTTGTGAAGAATGGCGCCGACGATCTTTTGTTAAATTTGTTGTTTGTGCGTGTGTCATTCGTGTGGCCGTTTGTGGCCTGGACGCTGTAGTCGTTATCAAAATCACTGTAGTATCGATCGAGAAAGCTGTTGCTGCTACCACCGTTGCTGTTGTTGTTGCTGTTGTTGTTGCTGTTGTTGTTGCTGTTGTTGTTGCTGTTGTTGTTGCTGTTGTTGTTGTTGTCGTTGTTGATGCTGAAAGATTTCGTTGAGCAAATTGATTCCCTATCAATTCTGGCGCCTGTTCTAATGATTCCTGTAAACTCATCGATAACAAAACGCCACGATGACGTCATATCTTGTTGTTGTTGTTTGTTATTTTGTTGTTGTTGTTGTTGCACAAATGATGGATAGTAGTATGAAGATTGTTGTTGTTGTTGTTTGTTGTTGTTGTTGTTGTCCTTCTTGGATTGTTGATTCAGAAATCTAAATCTTATTTGGTCGAGTTTGCGTTTGTCGTCATCGTTCTCGTCTTCACCGTCATCTTTATTGTTGTTGATGTTGTTATTATTAATGTTGTTAATGTTGTTGTTGCTGTTTTTGTAGTTATTATTGTTGTTTGAAATTTTTTTGTTGTTTAAATCTTTGCCAACATCGCCTACAAATGTTCCGATTGGAACCTCCTCCAAGATGCTGTACAATAGAAAGTCTTCCTCGTCATCATCACCGTTGT